GCTGTACTACATCTTATTACACTGACAGTCAGGTAGCAGAGCCTTTTACTTATTCAGAAAGAAAGAAAAGAGAGATGGAGATAAGTGTGAGGGAGAGAGAGAGAGAGAGAGAGAGAGAGAGAGAGAGAGAGAGAGAGAGAGAGAGAGAGAGAGAGAGAGAGAGAGAGAGAGTGAGAGAGAGAGAGAGAGAGAGAGAGAGAACACTTGTGGTTTGGTCTGCTGAAGCCATTTTCTTGTGACGCACATGTACACCGACGGCAGAAAGCCTTTAAAACTGCAAGCGGGTGCACATAATCGCAGAATGGGAAACAAAAGGGGCTGGTTTCAAAAATACTTCAGTTGAACTACTGTCAGACACACAGCCACAGCATTCCTCCCTTCTCCTTACCAACCTCCTTTGTCACTTTAATTTGCTTCTGGCATTTTGCATCCTGAGTTTCCACACATACACACACACAGAAACTGTGGGTGATATGATTTTGGCATCAAATCTCCTGTTTTTTCCATAAAAATTCCCAGACTTTTAGATGTCCTATCAAAAAACATGCCTGCAATTAGCTCCAAGCTTCAGCATTTCTTCATTCTAGAAGATTCTCATTAACACAAAAAACAAAGTTTAGTTCATTACAATACTGTTTAAGAAGATAGCAACAAAACAGAAAAGTTTTTCTTTCACAAAACAGAAAAGTCCTGGGGAATTCAAAGGCCCTTTTGTCTTCAGAGGAACTCAACTTCAGGGTGGATATTTCTCTGACACAGTTCTTAACTAAAATCATTTTCTATGTTGTGAGGGCTAAATCATGCCTTCTATTCCGAACATGCTGGAATGAACAACTGATTGAAGTACATCAACTATATAAAATATATGTAAAACATTAAAATATGTATATCAAACATTTTAAACATTAGATTATGGACATCATGTGTACCATCATGTACTAACTTACTGTGGTTTGTGATCCATCACATAAGACAGACTTATAGGAACTGGAGCATCACATATTGACCTGCTTAATCACATGCGTACTATGAGAGTTAGGTAGAGGGCAATCTGCCAGCTTGATCTTACTGGCTCACACTTGATCTAATAGCAGAGCATTCAGAGTGGGCGGAGTCTTCTGCCGGGGGCTGCACAGATCCCTTTGTAAAGGAACGCATAGCATCTTAGGATAATGATCAATTATTCTCTACCACGAAAGGCCAGGATTATCACAAATCTCGTACTAAAAAGTGCCTAGCTCCCAACACTGTCTTGATTCCCTAAATCTGTGTTTGACAATGATTTAGCTAACACAGCACACTTTCACCATAAGATAATATGAAATTCACATTGTGAAAGTGATAAATATTAGAATAAAAAGCCACTAAATTAGTTGTTTAGTGGAGTTTCAGGCATGTAAGAGGGAATTACTGAGTCTCAAAAATGTAACACTTATTATATCTAGTGGAATCTGAGATACTAAACTCAATACACATCATTCCTACCCCAATAAAGCATGATGAATTCATAGAGTACCTCTTATTAACAGTAAAAAATGAACATGAAGCCTATGCAAAATCATAGTACTTTCCAGTTAAATTCTTGATGCCTATATAACAGTACAGCATCTGCAGCATCTTTTTTCAGCATCTACAATAAAAAAGTGACAAAGTCTAAAAAGTCTAAGATAAAACACAACATCTACCAATCAGTTTACTACTTTTATAAATTACATTATATATATTAATGATAATTACTTATAAATGGAGGATGAAAGAGGTGAAGTAAAAAATGCAAGGACAATTGCGAACAGCAAAGAACTAGTCCTAAACACAGAGTCCATATCAACAGATTTATTTTTATTATTTATTCATGCACCAATTAAAGGTTAAGCATGTGCCAAAGCCTGTGTGTCAGAGAGCAGCTGTAGTGAGCGAGAGGGAGAGAGCGGCCACAACAAGAAGGTTAAGGAAAAAGCAAACTAACTTTGTCTTGAAATGGTTTTGGCCAGAAGACAAGCTCTCCACAAAAGAGCACGGACTGGCATAAACATTTGTACAAAATTATAAGTGCATTTGGAGACGCATGCAGGAGTCAACCGCCTGCACACGGTTCCCTACGCTCACTCTCTCCCACCAAACCCTCCACCCCAGAGCGCGTGTGTGTATACAGGCTCCAAACCACTGCATTTTAATTACTGCCAGCAAGCACAGCAAACCTCTTTGAAATGGAAATGGACTCAGAATCTTTCTCTGCACAGCAGAAATCTTCTTCTGATTTAAAAAAAAAAAACAATATGCTACACCAGAGCCTAGACCTGATAATGCTGATTATAACCACCAAAAAAGCCAGTGTCAACAACCTCAGAGTCCCAGGGATCCCTAGCATTAAATCTACATATTCATGTGTGCTTATAAAAGAGCTAGGAGAGAGAACGATAGGAAAATATTTTATAATATAGAAGGCATATTTGTCATGCACCTAATTTCAAAGAACTGTAGGCTTTATGTGTCATGCAACACTAAGTTCGGGACATTTTGATTTAAGAAATAGTGTGTATTGATGGAACACATCCAAAGAGCAGCTCTATTAGCACATCCTGTTATCAGGCAAATGCTGTGAGAAGATGAGGAAAAGAAAGCATTTAGTAATATTTTGGAGTGAAAAGCATCTATCTCTCCAGTTCATTGTGCAGCATCAGGCCGTAGGTGAACATGCGTTTTCAGTGGAGGGCAAAAAAGCGTGGCCTTCATTTACAAAGAGTGTCCAAGACATCAAAGACGTCTTTAATTTTTTATCCTTGTGCGATTGTAACGTCTAGCCCTGAGGTTGCAAAAGGGCAAAAAACTAAACGTTGCAGGGGGAAAAAAGGCCCTTTCAGCGTAGACTGTCGCTGAAAGACACGGCCATCTGTATTGGCATTTCACAAGGCCTCCTAAGCTATAGCTTCACTATCTTTTTTTCAGAAGCAAGACTGCAATTTGGGCGTGTTGTTAAGCCGCAGATAAGTATAGGTTGGAAATTTATACTTGCTCAGGAGGAAAGAAATAGTTAAGTCCTAATGTTAAAGGTCTTCACAAGACTAAAGTAAATATCTATTTATTTACTATCTGTCATTTGATTGTTACAGCTTTGATTTCATTTCGGTGTGTCCAGGGTCAGCATTCCGGCTTATGTAAATCATTAAATCATAGAAGATACTGGCAGCCCTGGGGATCTCGAGCAGCTGTCAGCGTGCCATCTTCCTTGATGACAATGGATCTATCATTCTGCAGGAACGCAGTGGACGGCCGCGAGAAAAGCCACTGCATGCACTTAAACATCAGCATGTGAATAATAATAAGCAGTTGCAAAAAGAAATTAATGCTTTATGTACAGTCATTCAAGATCTGAATATCATCGACAAGAAAACGCCACCTTCCTAGTGTCTTCCTTATTTCGCTAATTAGTAGCCAAAACTATAATGCTATTATTAAAAGTGCAGCAAAGCTTCAATAACACATTCCAGAAACTTGAGAGATTCTGCCACAAAAGGGGAAAAAAGCCTTCTAATAAACATGTTGCCATCGGTTTTGATCATTGTTGAAATATTCCACAGCAAATTAGCTAACACTTATAAAGACAGATGTCACAACATGTGCTGCCACATTTCCTCCTCATGCATTCCTCCCCTACGGCTGGCGTGCTGCTTACCTTTACCAGGCCTGCTGTTGTTTACCTCCAGTGTTGTTTATCATTAGGATTCTGCTGGCACTCTTCTAACCCCTCCAATACAAGACAGAACTATATAGGCGACACTTACACCTGAGCATACCACAACCTCAACTTGCTCTTTTCCATTAAATACTATGTTACTGTACACTGGGTTACGCACTACTGCACAACAAAAATAAAATAAAAAATTAACAAGAGTTAAAACAAGAGTACTCGTTTAATAAATTATTAGATGAAATATCATTTTGAAAGAATTGGCTCTGATAAGAACGTGATTGTTCATAAATAAACTGCCTGAGCTCAAAAAAATTATTCGCTACACTCACTTCATCCTTTACTTTATCTTCAAGATGTACATCCACTTAAGACGTATAAACAACATCATTTCAAAGATTAAAGACATACTGCTTTACTAAAGTAGGAAGCGATAAGCAAGGCCAAATTAGGTCAATGAAAATGTAAATAATAAAACAGGCAATAAATAAAATGCCAGCGCTGTGTAAAACCATTGAAAACTGATTAAAACTCAAAATTACTGGTAGAGAAATCTGAGACAATATTTCTCAAGTACTAAAACATATGGCAGACAACCTCTAGAAACAACAGACTGTGGCACATGAAAGAGAATTATTCAAAGTTCATTTACTGTCCAGATTTTAGGACTGATAATGCATTCAACTGATGCCAGCTCTGCAATTAATGTTCCCAAGAAAGTAATCAAAAGTCCCTTTATAACAGAGAACTAATAATAACTAACAACTGAACTTATTATATCCTGCATGCACAGAAAAGTGATTCTCTCATTTCAAAATTATTTATATATGAAACACTGAGTATCAAATAAAGTGGTCTGATATCTTTTATGTATCTTAAAATTAGGAGATCCCACAAAATAAATACTGTGGGGGAAATGTTTTTGCACACTCAAAAAAAACTTGTATGCATTTAAAGATTAAAAGAAATGCATTTTGATGGCATGAAATTACAATCACTCAGTCACTGCAAGGTATCATAATGACACTCTGCGAGTGTTTCAATGATTTAGAGCCTCATGATTCAATCCCTTAAACGATGAAATGCAAAACTATCATCACTGCATATAATCTCTAATAAAATGAAATTAATCAGCATGAACTGTAAGAGAATGATTAGAGTATTAAAGGAAGAAGAAAAAAAAACTAAAACCCTACTTCACACACTATGTGTTAAAATACATATTCCAGCTGTCAAGTCTCAGAACATAAGATCTATTCAAAGACAAGCGAGGCATCGCAGAATAGAATACGGTCCAAATCTCTGAACTTACTGGCACCATAAGCGTTCGTCTGCGATCTGTCGGTATCTGCTCGCCGGATCCAGTTAGGAAATGCTCTTTACTTGCACAAAACCACAAGTTCCTCCCCAAATCCACGGGCAGAAAGTCCTGGAAAAAAAAAAAACATCAACGGAGATCGTCATTATCTCAAACGCTTTAATCTCAGCGAAAATGAAAGTGCATTTGTCTGTGAAATATAGTTATGAAACTGCGCATAAACCTTCAATCATACTTAATTTATGTCCATAAAGAAAGTTTTTGGAAAATCCAGTCTATGCATGAAAAATAAGCTTGCATGAATACTGCGTTTAAACTTGAAACAGCGAGCCGTGAAGTTAAATAAATAAAAATAAAAAACACGGATGCGTAGACTATAGCATACATTTGTGAAGTGTGTTAACACTAATAAAAGGAGGGATTTTTATAAATTCATTAAATTCTGTATTGGCAAATAACACATTTGATTGCTTTTTAAATCTCGATGAATTAATACAGGTGACCACGGTCTGTCTTTTAAATGCATGACTTGTAAATAAATGTAAGGGAGGTAACAGAGACCCTTTCTCAAAGGCAGTGAATAAGTCTATCCCTATTGAGTGCAGCACATCCCTGTATAGCAAACAGGACAATGTGCTGAACTTGCAGTCTAATTATAAATGTTCCATTGGGCTCCAGTGCCATCTTACCTTATGAGGGAACAGCTAACAGCAACTGCTCAAAACAAAATGCCATTACGGGCTCAACTTCACCCCAACAGAGGGACAAGCCAAGGGGATTGTTTTTCAAACAGCCCCCTCTCACTTAAGACAAGAATGTATTATTAGACACCCGGTTATCCTTACAGACTAGACACAATTTCAGGAAAGAAAAACTAGCAAAGTTAAGCTGTGTTTAATTAAGGTGTCAGGTTGCGTCCCTGACGGGAACAACAAAGCTTTTGTGTTTCTGTTATGAGGTTTAGAAAAGAAAAAAAGGAGGAGAGTGTTTCGCTTTCTAGCGCCGGAAAAGTGTTTAACAAGAGGTAACTTATGCGTCTTAATTTTTGAAATATTTTAAATGTCCCGTTTGACGTGTCTGAGGGGCTTCAGGAGTTTTTAAAAACCAATACATTCCGTCATAGCCTACGTCGGCGTGTTGTGTTAAGTTCCTTATTAAAATATTATCGCATCTCGTGCAGCAGTCGAAAAAAGGGCTTATCTCTGTGGTATGAGGGTCTACTTTTGGGAAACACCCATGAGATGAGGGCTATCGGTGTCCCACAGACTGAGTCCACACACATTGCGCTCCATTTGTCCTCTCAATACCTCATCGCTCTGTTTCTGGAAATCTCAAAAGCATCATGTAGCACAAAACTTAAAAAAGAGGCAGAATAAGGATAATGCAAAGTTTAAATCGCGTTTAACGGAAAATAAACGCTAAAATTATTTTACTGGATTTATTTTGAATAGACATTCACTGTGAATGTAATTTTAAACTACTAGCTATTTGATTTTGTTGTGTAAAGATTTTTTTATTACACATAGCCTATCTGTTTGACGTTTTAAAACAAAAAAGATTAGTAGCCTACGTTAACAAAAGGCATTTATTTTTAATAAGCGCCGTAGGCCTAATTTCTCACATAAAATATCACACATACTGATAAAGAATAAATAAGAAATAATTCCCAGAGTTCACTTACTTTCAGTCTGAAATTCAGAGCACCTATGGAGATTAAAAGGAGTCTGCTTGTCCAAGTTGCTTATTGTCTCTAAATGGTTCAGCTTTAGATGAGGACTTCATTTTAATTTATGGCTTATGCATTCTTCAAAGGTCAATATGCCTGACCTCGAGCGAAAGTTGAGAAACAATTCCCATGCTCGCTTAGAGAACAATTTTGCCTTCAAACCTTTTTTTTTTTTTTTTTTAAACTAAACTACCCGGTCTTTTTTTACCTATCTCTCGCGGGCTGGAAAGGTGTCTGATCTTAAAAAAACACAAAGCAATAAAGCATGTCCAGTTTTTAATAGAGAGAAAGTTAAAACGACGTCGAATCGGATACTTGCCAGTAGGCTACTGTACCTAGCAGCGCTTCTCCCGTTATTGTCAATGAATAGTACCGCTCTGTGGACAAAAGTGAAATTACCTCCGGTGTAGTGAACTTATCCGCCGTCCGGATGACAACTACATGCTATCTATTACTAAGAAATAAAACTGATTAAATAGCACTGCACCTGGAGTTATTATCATACGCACATTGTTAGAAATCAAACCTGCGCATTGTTTCCTTTCGGCGCGTGCGTTTGTGAGCAGGCTAAACAATAGTTCAATAGCGGACAATGAAGTACAAACAAAACATTATAACTGCTGGGAGACCATACAAGAACCGCGTGGATAATGTCTGTTTAACTTTTTTCTGTTAGTCGACAAGATTTTTGCATTTTTGTTAAGAAATAAGCTCTTAATCGCTCCTCGCCATCGGTCTACGGAGTAGGCTATCATGCGTCACTCTTCGTTGAAAATTACCGTTTAGACAAATATCAATCCTGGACAAGCAAACCCTTTCAAATAGTTTGGACACTTACTGTAAAGCTTCTGTAAATAACACGTGAATGTATCGATACGGAGCTGCGGTGTTACGACGCCAAAAAGACGATAAACACAACATGACGAAAAGACACGAAATCACGGACGACAGGTTACCAATGATAAAAGTTTACCTTTATGTGAGCAGGGTACCAAAACAAGCGCTCGTCTTCGCCGTATCCCGTTATTGGTTTTGAAACAGGTTAAAGATAATGAACACTTAAGTGTAGTAGAAAAGAAAGAAGAAAACTGAAGTGTGTCGCTTCCACTGACCGTAGAGGGAATCCCGCTTTGGCTGTATGAAGTTGAACTGTCAAAGCTGCTGAGAGCAGTTGTAAGTATATTTATCGCGATTTCCTCTCTACTCTAAAACAGAAGCGACAGAAGACGATGGTTACTGCTGTCAATCTTGGCAATCAATGCAAGCGGCCATGTCGCAAGTATTCAAAGCATTTCCCGTCGTGCAACATCAGAAAGTGAGTGGCCAGGGCATTGATCTGAGGAAAGAGGCAGGGCTCCCCCTCCCAGACAACACATGAGAGTAAGAGAGAGAGAGAGAGAGAGAGAGAGAGAGAGAGAGAGAGAGAGAGAGAGAGAGAGAGAGAGAGAGAGAGAGAGAGAGAGAGAGAGAGAGAGAGAGAGAGAGAGAGAGAGAGAGAGAGAGAGAGAGAGAGAGAGAGAGAGAGAGAGAGAGATGTGGGGTAGAATAGTGTATTGTGAGGTGGAAAAAGAACTCAGGTGATGTAGCCTACATTTTCAAATGTCAGGATATTGTTAGCCATATAAAATTTCGCGTTAAAAACATTTGTAAATATTCACGCGTCAGTCATCTGTTAAAGTTAGCAAGCTATTTAAAAATAAATGGGTTATATGCTAATTTTGTTATTGGATTAAGCTGGAGCTATAGATACATGAACATGATATAAAAGGTGAAAATGTAAAGATTGTGATTTCACTGCTTTACATTACTTTTGAGGATAACATGTCGAAAAAAAGTTCTAAGCGACGGCAAAAAATAACTGAGCATTTTTATGGAATTTGAAGTTACTTATAAGCTAATGTCTTCACGCCAGAGGAAAAATCGTAATTTATCTCTCTCAGAGACGTTTATATTACGTTATAAAATTGAAAAATGGTTAGTTCCGCTATAAGAATGTTTACTGCGTATGCTATAACGCGCCTTCTTCTCAAAAGATTGTAAAACAGTGTTTTACACCTGGAACGATTATTGAAGTTAGTCTTGTGCCAACAACCAAAGGCCATCTCAGGTCATTCTACAAAACCGAATGTAGAAGAATCATGTTTAAAAAGCATCATATAGCCTACAGTTAGGCTATTATAGCAAATTATTTGATCGATATATTGATGAATTAGGGCATTGTGATCAGAATATAAACTTATCACCTCCAGTGTCTCCCTGGAACTATGGGGAAATAATTACATTATCTCATTAATAAAAAATAAATAAAAACAGATTTTCTTTTACACAATAGGCTATTTAAAATTGTAGGCTATTCCAAATTAATTTCACGGAGACAGGCATGATGATTATTCGAATTCAGGTCAACGATTTTGAAAACACACAAATGTTTTACAAACCTGTTTTTTTTTTCGCGAAGCCTGTAATAAATTATTATTTTTAAAAAAGATATATATGTTTGGCTTAACACTGTCTGATTTGTTCACATCTGTGAAACGGTTTCCTTTACACTTGTATAGACATAGCTATTTAAGAAGTTAGGCTAATAAAGTGCATGAACAAAACTACGGAGACATCCCTTTCCAGACAGCTTTTTAGACGATCCATCGTATAATTATATTAAGTTGTGAAGAAACTGTTCGCTCTTAAACGGACAAAGATCAGGTCAGATGATTTGAGTATAGCTATTTGAATGTGCAGCGCACTTTAGGAATGCTGGTTGGTCAGAATGTGAAGATTTAAAAAAAATACAAATCTACAACACTGACAGACTTATGCAGAGATCGGAAACTATAAATACAGTTCTGTTCAGCAGTTACAAAGACATGCAGTAAAAACTAAAGTAAGTAGTTAAAAAAATCGCATATAGCCTATAATAACTGTCATCTGTCGCGGGTTTTTTTTAAATAAAATTGCCTGCATTTTAAATGTAGGCCTATATTTATTTTGTGGTGAAAATATCAGAAATTCTATACGAAAGAAAACAATACATAATACAATGTTGTACTTACAATGATAAGGGCAGATGCAGAAGAAAATGCTGTTTGTTAACTGAAGAGTCACACAGGGCTAAAGAAAGGGGGAGACAGGGAGGGAGGAAGAGTGAGAGAGAGGGAGAAAGAGAGATGGAGAAAGAGAGAGAGAGAGGGAGGGAGTGAGGGAGAGAGGGAGAGGGGGAGAGGGGGGATTAAGGATGTAGCGGGTATGCCAGAATAGATATCCTTTCACAACATCTCATCACATCTGTTCTGGCTCTTGTCTGTCTTTCATTTTCACATTCCCTTTTTTCCTGAGAAAAATCCTATCCACGCGTCACATCTTCATCCCCAGATTCTATCTACTACACCAAAGAGAAGATTAATTATTCAAACAAAGCCTTGCCTTTAAGGCAATAAAGCCACTGCACTGAAACTTTTCTCTTTTACAGCCTATTCCAGCTGACACCGAAAGTATTTCCCAAATATTGTACAACAATGTCAAAAAGTTTCCCTAAACGCCTCATTTTCAAACAGTGACAATCATTATGCTACTTTTCAATACGAAATTCGTTTGGCTGTTCAGCTTAATATAGCGAAAAGGTGCAGACATATTTTCTGACTGGTTCATTGATGTCGATGTTCTCACACAAGCTGAAAATGTAAACAGGCACATTCAAACTGCCACCGCGCAAAACACTTCATAAAATAAAAAATGCAGCCAACAGTCTTCAGACAAGCGTTTCTCTGAAGGTAAACACATAGGCTGTGTCTCAAAACCAAGTGAGCTGCCTGACTAGACAAATTTTTAGGGTCATATGCGTATTCACTGTCTAGCCAGCTCAAACGGGTTTCAGACCACAGAAATTTAGTTTATGCCAGGAAGTAATTATTTATCATTCAATTTTAACATGTATTTTGGTGGTTAGTATTTTTTTTAGCCACTATTACCCAGTAAAAAGAACGTCTTACTTTTTAGGTAGAGTTGCGCTGAATAACAACCAGAGCTCGCGTGCTCCTGCAGAAGGCAGGTACAGTGTCAGTCAGGTAGACGCCGCTCATCGATGTTATGTACAGGGCTAATGCGCCACCCATTGATTACTCGAGGAATTACACCTCTGGGTTGCTTCTTAATGCTTGCAGTGATTGTCAAGTGTTCTTGTTTTTGAAATCTTTTAATTTTAAGCAAACGGTTAGATATGGGATTGAGCTTCAACGGCATTCTTAAACCTAACAATTGTATTTATTATTTTTATGCATTTCTTTTAAATGAAAATGAAAAACGCAAGTGGCTGCTACTAGTCACATTATCAGAGGACCAACAGTACCAGTAAGTCTCAATTAAAAGAGAAATTCTGACTAATGAGCTTCTTCAATCTGCAAATTTGAGTCAATTTGTAAAAGACCACAACGTTTTAGAGAGCTGTAATAAAACTGCTTTTAAAACCAAATCCTATTCATGAATATATTGGAAGTTTGTTTTATTTAATCCTTGGTTATTGCCTCTGATGTAGTTTGACCTTGACTGTGCAAAACAGTCACTCAAATAGGCCTACTTATAGGTTTTAACAAGGGCATGATTCATTTTTGTCTCTTTATTGTTCAGGTCTTAACTAATTAGCTCTGAACAAATGTACAAGTCATTTTTTTGCAGTCCCTTTGCCAAAATCCTAAAATCACAAGGTCTTTTCTGAACTATGAGCCTGTAATTAAGTATTTTGCGGGTGTGAGCGAGCGGGTTCAAGCCTGTAGGTCTGGTCTGGACCAATGTTCTGTCCAGCTCGTTAGAGAAAGAGGCAGCATTCATCACATTAGCATATCATGAAATGCTTTGATGCATCGTGAAATTCAAGCCTAGCCTATTAATATTTAAAAAAGGCCTGCATAAAAATCAACATTTTTGTTACATTAAATTAACATGTGTTCTTCTCCAGTTCTGCATGTTTAATTAGGCCGCACTCTTCTGTCAAAAGAAATATGGAGGCTGCCATATGATTTGCTGTGATTACTTGAGAACTGGCAAACAACACTTCACAAATATATTTGTCTGGTAGATTCAAATGCCTCGTAGAGAATGTGCGTATGAGAAGCCTCTATTAAAAACTCATTTCAGACATTTCCATATCTGCAGGAGCCATGGAAATATGTCTGATGCGTTTAATTAATGAGCGATACATTTTTAGCCAAAATCTACAGAACCGTGTCAGTGTTGCTCAATGAGACTTAACACACTGGATGAAGATTCCCCACATCTTCTATTTAAACCTTGCACGAAACAGCCCTGTTGTAGTCTGGAGGGTTTCAGCATCACTCAAGGGTCTGTGTTTAAAAAAAAAAAAAAAAAAAAAAAAGGAGCGAGAGAGAAAATGACAAACTGCAAACCATTATGTGGCAGGAAACACAGGAAGAGGTAATTTAAATGTCCGTGGTTGGAAAACCCAATCCTTATTACGTTTGTGAACATTTTAATTAAATATAAAAGTATTGTAGAAAGGACATGTGCATAGCAGAACTTGTTAAATAATCTAATAATGATCTTCAATATTAATAATTAAGATTCCAAACTCTTTGGTCTTTGCATCTTAATCTGCATCGCTTGCATCTCTGAAACACAAAGGCAGTCATATGACATTTCAACTTATTACCAAAACACCAAGCAGATACAATTACACCCTTAAAGGGATAGTTCACCCCAAAACAAATTTTGTAATCATTTACTCACCATCATGTCATGCGAAATCAGTATGACTTTCTTCTGTGGAACACACAATCATTTATTTCAAGACAAAATTGGGTCCAAACAACACTGGACCTCAAAGTTTATAGGGGGATATCTTCTGAAAAAAAGTAAATTGTAACCATTATTGTTGCACACATTATTAGTAGTATTTTGCCTTGTATTATCACTCATAAAATGAACATAAGGAGTGTGTTCCATCAAGTGTTTTTAAGGTTTAGTAATCAAAGGGTTTTAGCAGAAAATAATAGTGGTTTGGATTCATGAATGAGCTGTAAAATTGAACATGTTTGGTAAGAACAGTAAATAACATTTACAGATATTTTTTGTAAAGGTGTTCTTTAAAGTATTTAAAGTATTACAATTGTATGTCCTTAAAAAAAAAAGACTATTTAACGATATGTCCGTTTTGTTCTGTAAGCACAACCTCTCTGTAAGGAAACAAAAGCAAGAGAATAATGGCATAAGAGCGCTGTGAAAGCTGTCATCGTAAATCAAGCATGTTCCACAAGGTCAAACATAAAACAGTTTTGTCACTTCGAGTCGGAGGACAGAGCGCTCCATCTACCACACACTCCAAAATACAGTAAATGCCAGAA